TCAAGAACATGCTAAAAACAAACTGCATGTGGCCTGCGGAGCAGCCATGTGTTTCTACTAAAGACTTGTGCAAGAAATAAGAACCAGATGTGAGCCAGTGGAGGGTGCCCAGGTGAGAGCAGGGACGTCCCGAGTCCCGCACACGCTTGAATGACAGGATGCAGCTGCTGAGGAGATTGCGGGCCACGGGCTAGCCCCCCTCTTTCCAGAACAAGCCAGAGCAGAAAGGGGGAGCAAGGGGGTGTCGATTAATGCAGGGTGATTCGTTACTACCCAATGCCGTGTCTCAAGGAGACGCGAGTCCCAGGCCTGGTGGAGCTCTGCAGGGGCAGAGCGACAGGTGGGGCCGGCCACGCTGCCAGGCGCACGCAATTCTCAGGGGCAGCAGGTGGGCATGCAGCGTACGATGGGGCCCCGAGCCCGCTCTGCGGCTGGAGCTCATTGTTCTGTTTCCTCTCCCCAAGCCCATCTCCTCCCACCGGACGAGGCTTCAAAGCCAGCTCTAAAAAGCACCTAACTCCACTTCCCAGGGAAAGGCATCTCCCGGCATTCAGCGCCAGCCACCTCCCTCCCTCTCGCTGGCCAAATACGAAACAAACCCCGGCAGAGCGGGAAGGAAGCACAAGCTTTTGCTGTGAACACGCTTGTTAGCATGCACAGGAGCACTACACCTCATCCCCAGGGAAGTTTAAGAACTAAAAATACAAGAAGTGTCTTCCTCCAGGGTAAGATTATTTAATCCAGCGTCAAGTAGCATCTGATAAGGGCTAATGCCGACTAACTAGCTCTAAACGCATCTTGCGTGCATGTAGGAGGGCAGTGAGGGATTCACTGTGCTGCATGATGATGGAACACAGGCTTCCTGCTCTGGCTCCCTGGTTAGCGTGGGGACGGGGCAGAGAGGAGGCTGTTAGCAAGCTTCAGCCCATGCTGCCGGTCAGAAAGCTGCTTCCTCTGCATGTCTGTAGCAGCTCCGTGGGCTGGTGCGGCTCTGAAACTCCACCACAGTCCCAGAATTAAATTGCAGCCTTCCTCCCAGCCTCCAATTCGGGGGCTGAGCGTGCCTTTCGCTGAGCATTCAGAGGCACCCGGGACAAGGCGCCAGCCTGGACATACAAACCCCACCACTGCTGGAGACAGAGGGGCCTGGGAGCGAACGTTATCACAGGCTGCACCAGCATCTCAGAGATGCTCCAAGATGGTCAGCCGGAACCCAGCCAATGCCTCGGAGGGAGTCTAATCTCCGGCAGAGAGGCTGCCCTCGTTTCGCTTCCGTTCTCCAATCGCTGGGAGGAAATTTCAAGGCCCCAAAGAACAAAAAAAAACCCCAAACAAAAATAAAATCCAAACCCCAGGACAAAGCCCCAGATGAGGGGCACAGGAGGGTCACGCGACACCTGCTCGCGATGGCCTTGCGAGGCCGCCGTGCAGCTGGGGAAGGGAGCGCGGAGCCGTAATTCTATCAACGGCCCCAGTAAACAAATAATAAATAACGTGAACCAGTAAACAAAGCCGAGGCATAATCACGGGCTTTGTCAGAGCTAAAACTGGCTCCAAATTTATATCCTCGCCACCAAAAAAAAAAAAAGAAAGAAAGTCGGCGCCCATAAATTTACATACCTTTGAGTGCAATGAATGGCTTGTTATTGAAACCTTGTACAATACGCTGGCAGAAACGTTGAAAGCAGCCCTGTTTTGGCTCCTTGTACCCTTCATACAGGTGGCCAAGCACAGTGCTATCTCCAGTCTCCGGCTCACAGAGCGCCTTTGATTGCCCAGGCTCGTGCAGTTCCCGAGCTCGGGCGCTAGAGGGAGGGTCACGGCCAACCCCTCCGCTGGTCCCTAATTCCTCACACTGGGAAAGCCAAGTCCTTGGTGCGGGTGCGGGAGGTTTTCTAGAGAGCTGCCACTGCACCCTTTCCTGGCAGCGCGCTCGGGATGCCCTGGAGATGCAGGCTCTCGAGGAGCAGCTATAAAGAGGTCAAGGCATTCTGGAAGCAGGGTAGCACCAGGGGAACATGCAGTGAAGGCATACCTGCTATTTTGGCAGCAATGATGTTATCAAGTCCCTTGTCCAGATCAGCTGGCTCCAGCGCCTCCATCTTTCCCGGGGGGTCCTCTGTTGCCGACAAGGTGGTGTACGTGCTAATAACCAGGATTCCCAAGCCAATCCACAGTATAACCTGCACAACAAGCCAGAGCCCCGGTTACACACAGCAAAACAAGCCCAACTTCTCTACAAAACACTTCTCACGCCACCCCATCCCAAAACAACTCAGAGCGCCCAGCTATGACAGGCATCGACGAGCAGGAGAGGGAGAAACTCAAGAGGTGAATGGGAGAGAAAGGTAATTTCAGCAGAGGTTTCGATCAGGGTGGGCAGAGGCTGGGAGGTGGCCTCAGGTGCTGGGAGCAGGAAAAGAGAAGGCTCTGGTGGCAAAAGAGCTCCGATCGTGCCAACAAAGCTCTGGCAGGGCTATGTGATGTAGGACAAGGCAGATGCAATATAGCGGGGTTTTTAGTCAGTCAATCAATGCGGCTCAGAAGATGCCCACCATTTGTGCCCGGCTTGAAACATTGGCGAGTTTACGTTTCTACCACCGGGAAAGATAAGTTTTCCTCAACCTCCAAAATGATGCATTTGAAACAAGCTTCCTTGTCCCTTTTCCCCAGCCCAAATAATGCAGCAGGGTGCAGGTACCTGAGATCCTAACCAAACCGACTGAATGATTCCCCACATCCCAATCAAGAGCAAGATGAAAAGGCAACAGAATGGACCTCAGCGCAGAGAAGGACTATGGTGGATTTCACTACCATCAGAGAAGGGAAGCCTATTTTCTCAACGTGAGCTGGAACATCCCACAGAAACCTCCCCAGTCAAGGATGCTGGTGGAAGGAGCCAGGCTGAAAATCCAGACCCACCAGTAATGAAGGCAGGAATCTCTCCATACCTGGGAAGTCTGGAAACACGTAGGGCATTCGAGTCAGGTGGAGGGTGCCCGGCTAAGCAGCTACCTGATAAGAAGTGATCAGCAGTACAGGCAGAGGGAACGTCTGCCTCGCTCGAGCGGTGGAACTGCCAGACGCCTTGCAGCTCCACCTAACGGAAGAGGCCCTGGTTGAAAGCGTTGTGCGGACAGTTTGTTGGCTGACAGTGTGGATGGTGAAGGAGCTTTAATTAAACTCTGCTGTATTATTTTTACCAAGTTAATCACTGTAATTGTCCCTGCCAGGGATTCTGGCAGAGCTTTCTCTGCATGTCAACACAGTGGCTGGTGAAAGGCGGCGTTGGAGGCAGGAGGGTGGCTGAAGGGACCACGGCCCCCAGCACAGACCTGTGCCTCCCTGCGAGTGCCCTTCTCAGAGTGGTGCAAAGGGACAGAAAAAGAATGGAGAATTACATGCAAAATAGAAAATGCCCCTTGGGTGGAGGCCATGCTGTGGGGACATTTGTAAGAGAAGCAAGGGAGCGGGCTATCTACCCTCGCTTCCCAAGGTCAAGCCCATCTCAGTGCCCTTGGCTACGGAAGCAGAAATGCCCAGACAGCTCAGACTAGGCCTCCTCTACACGTCAAAACTTCAGACCACCCTCATGAGACACACTCGGGCCTCACGTGCCAGCTTCATTCCTCATCCGCCACGTTTCCTGGCTGCTGCCCTCCCATGGCCTTGCTCTACCGGCTATCTGCAAGTTTTTTGGGGGCATGGCTGCTGTCCGCATGCTCTGAGCCCAGACAAGTCATCACTGCTACAGGCACGTCACAAGGAAGTCCACAGGGCAGAGTCTTTGGTTGCAGAGGAAATACTTCTGTGGTAACCATCTCGCCGCTGTCCGAGGGAAACAAGGCTGTGGACTGAGTGCCTCTTGCAGAATGATTATGTAGGTCATTCTCATTTATACTGCAATTATCACCCAAGGTCTACAGCAAATCAGGCATGGTTGGTTCAAGTGCTAAGCAAACATGGAGGAAGAGCTAGTCTCTATCCAGCCTGAAGATAGAAGATGCAACAAGAGGGCATAGCAAACATGTAAGAAGCGCACAAAGGCAGGAAGAGGGAAACAGGAAGACTAGGTGTTCACGCAGGCTGGGGCCAAGCTGGATGGCCGAGACAGTCAAAGGTCTGAAGCCCCTGCTGGGACTTACAGATCCACTACTAGCTGGCAGTTTCCCACTGCCATCCTGGTAAAAGGAAGTGTGGGGAAAAGGCTTTGAAGGAGGGAAGCAGCTTTGCGTATTCATCTGGGGAAGTGTTTCCTGCTCAGGGCGGCATGGGGGCAGGCATGAGGGTGCCTGTGGGAAACAACCAAGGAGCCTGGCATTGTGTGGGGAGGGTGGAGTGGGGCGAAGGCACAGCACCTAAGTAAGGTGGGAGTCTCAGTCATCAGGCGCTTCAAAGGTTTTGAACTGGATGTGGGGGTGAAGGGAGAGCCCATGGAGGACCAAGAAATGGCAGGAGGGAGCTGTGGTCAGGCCAGGGGCCAAGAAAACTGCTAGTCTGAATATCCCTGGGGCCAGAACAGACGTTGAGTGAGGAGGAAGGCGATGGGAGAAGAGGCCACTCTGGACAAAAGCCCCAGCCAAATGGTCAGAGAGCAAAGGCCAGATCTTAGAGATGCTATGGAGGAAGCAGCAGCAGAATCTGGTGGCTGCCTGGCCGTGTGGGTGTCAGAGCAGATATCCTGCCGCACGGCTCCTGCCAAAAGTGGAGTCAGCAAGCTGGCCCACTCTGCCCTCACCTCTGACCCCGGCCATTTCCTTTCTCCAGCTCATCTGACGCCCCTGCAGGAGCCCAGCTCTGCGACTTGAGACCTCTGCTGCCCGCCCCCAGAAGTGGGAGCGGAAAGGAAGAGTGTTTCCACAAAAGGGTTCCTGCTACACCAAAATAGACCTGCTAGAGAGAAAACAGGCCTGCAGGAAGAGCTGATAAGTTCAAGCCTTTTATGGGGTATTTACTTAAAATCCAGGTCTCAGTGGGAACCGTGGGCTGGACAGGCTGGGGGGCTAATCCCAGCCCTGGACCCTGTGTCCAATCCCACAAGCTCCTTGGCCTGGGGAACGCTCAGAGTTTGTTTGCGAGCCAACTCTGCAACTCGGGACACCCAGAATCAGCCTGGGCTCTCCCAGGCTAACCTCCCTACCCAGAGGGAGGGAAGGAGGACAGCACGATCCCAAGCCCGCCCTGACAGCACCTCTCAGTTCTGACATAAGCCACACACAGCAGGGAAGGGCAGTGAAGCTAGAATAAAGAAGCCCAACATAATCAGTGCCACATTGAGTCAGACCCATGGTCCATCTAGCCCGGTAGCCTGTCTCCAACAGGGGCAGAGCAGATGCTTCAGAGGGACAGCACCAAACTGATTATGTCGAGAGAGATCCATCCCCTGTTACTTCCTAGGATCTGCCATGATTGGTTTGGAGACGATGGAAGAAACATCTCTGGCCATTCTGTTTAATAGTTGCTAATAGATCCATTGTCCACGAATTTGTCTAGTCCCTTTTTGGGACCATTTCTGCATCTGCTGTCACAACCAGGTGGTTTCCATCATGCACAAACGAGGTCTTGGGGCTCCATGGTCCACCAAGCCCCCCACCCCATAATAAACCAAAATGGGAACAGCCTGCTGGGGCTGGAAGCTGGGGGTGTAAGTCTAGCGCAAAGGGCCACTGGCTACAAGACAGATGCAAGGAGAAGGGCTCTATGGCAAAAAGGCCACAGTGCCTTAAAAACAGTGAACCCAGCAGGCACCAAGGCATCGGCTCCCAACAGGAGCCCAGGTCCACCAGGCAGTGCTGCCTACAGAAGAGCCCTCAAGCTCCTTCTAGGGTCGGTGACTGCTGAACTTCTCCAGCAGCCCCCCAAGCTCAGGCCCTGCTGCGTTAAGTGCATTTTCTGGACTCCCCCATTACGGACCCCCAGGAGAGTGGCCTGCGTTACAGGTCACAGGTGAAAAAGGAGTTGTTCTAAGCGGTGCTGCTTTTATAGGGTTAATTATTAACACACCCCCCCCATTTGCAGGTGACTAACCATTAAAGTAATGGAGCTGACACATCGGAGTCCAGCAAGCAGCAATGACCTCGCTGGAATGCAAGGGAGACAGACATTTATTTCTCTTCTCGGGCTTCCCGTAATGCCAACAGGGTAATTACCAGATCTTCACAAGAGCACTTAAATGAGTATAAAGGAACTCGGTCTGCTCCCCCCTCGCCACCGGGTCAGGCTGAGGACTGCCAGGGAATGACAATGAAGAGGAGCAGCCTCGTGGCTGGCTCCACTGGACAAGGTAAAGCTGAAAGTCACCTCGGCGTGACTGAGGAGCTTCCTGCTCCGTTACAGAAGCCCAGGCTGTCCCAGGACATCCCCAGCAGGTGCCGGGAGAGCAACTCGGTACAGGGCCACACACACTGCCGAAACGCTTCTCCGGGTCACACAGGACCCCATTTTGGAAGCAGGGAGAAGGCTAATTGCAAATCAAAAGACAGAGGCAGAAGGCGAGGTCCCTGCTGGACTTCACCAGCCAGTGCATGGGATGAAGGGTGTTGCCCCAAGGGGCACAGAGGCAGAGCCCGGAGGGGGTGCCATGTTGCAACCCCGACAGCAAGGTACAGGGCAGGGCGTTAGGCGTCTCCCTTTCCTTACGGTGCAGGCCAGGAGGACAGCAACTGCTTGCGGCTCCCAGGAGGGGCCTCTCCAACATGCCTGTGTCAACACAGCCCAGCCAACACCTTCCTGTTAGAAGCAAAGCGCTTTGTTTACAGACCTCGGGCCGACCTTCGGCAGCTCGGTGCCAAACCTCAGCTTGTCCCCAACCCCCAGCTCTGCCACAGCACCTTTCCACCCGGTTACCCCATCGCTGCTCCACACCAGGCAGGATCCAGACCTGCATGCTCTAGCGGGCCCGCCCGACACCGCCAACCACAACAAAGGGGAGGATTTCCCCATTCGCTCACGTCTCCCTGAGCCCGGCCTTAAGCTCTGTAACTTCCCCGTCGCTCTGTTACCTGATCATCTTTCCAACATACCAAGCCTTTTAACTAAACCACCCCTGGAGCTTAATCCACCCTGCAATTCCCAGACTCTGGCTTGCTGCCAGCTGTTGACTGACCAGCTGTCTGTAATAATTAACAACTCCCTGGCAGAATCCAACGCCCTTTGCTGGCTAACAGAAACATCTGGGGATGCGGCTGTCCCGCCCCCTCGGAAAGAAAAAGCTCCTCAACTCTTAATCCAATTTCTCCAACTTCTAGCTCGAGTCCGTGCTGTCCTCGGAGCAAACAGGTCTGGATTCTGGGGTGTCCCTCAGGACACCCACAATCTTCCATGGGCTGAAAATCCCTTGCAACTAGCTAAGAGATGGAAGACCTGCAAGCGGGAAGCAGGAGGGAGGAGTAGGAAAGACCTCGGACATCTCACTGGAAACATTTGTGCGAATTTCATGGAAGAAATGAAGCGAGCCTTCCAGAACTGGAACAAGGCTGGGCAGAGAACCCGGCTCTCCCTGGGCAGGCGGGAGGGAGTTCTGCAGCCTCGTGTGTTTGCCAAAAGACAGATCCGTCTTTGCTGAAACACTCAGCAACCGAGGTCAAAGCAAACGTGCCAGCCTGGCAGCTGATGGCTCATTCCGAAATGGGCCGCACAACTCCCCAGCTTCTCCGCTTGCCAGGGTACCCCACGGGCCCAACCACCGAGGATGAGCTGCTGTTCCTTATGGGGGGGATTTCTGAGACTACCAACTGCCTTGCTGAGCTTACGACCCGTATTTAAGTTCTGTGCAGCCTTCAAGCCCTACTGCTGGGCTGAGGGCAACTGGGCCATGAGCTTGGCCCCTCCTAAGTGCGATTTCCGTTGCTGCAGAGGATGGCTCCACTCAGCCCCAACAGAAAGCCATTCCTGAAAGTGCCCTTTGTTCCACTGCAGACCCAGGCTGCCGTCTAGACCTGTGCCTGGGGTTTCAGTCAAAGGAGTGAGGACCAGAGGTGTCAGAATTCAGAGCGGGCGCTGGAAAGCTGGACTGTTTCCGCGTGTCAGAGCGAGCTTGAAGCAAAGTGACAGAAAAATCCGCTCCGCTTCAAAAGCTTCACGTGCCTTCGCAAACCCACAAGTCATTCCACACAGAAAAAGCCATTATTTCTGTAGGACCCACAAAAATGTTCTCCCCCTGCTGACTCGGCAACTCCCTGCAACTCTATTCCCAGAACAGTAGCAGCCGACAGGGCTGGGAGCACAGGCAGAGGCTGCGAAGGGGCCCTAGATTCAGCGATTGATAGGGGAAACCAACACACCTTCGCTTGGGTTCCATAAAATACAGAGTGTTTGCAAAACACAAATGCTCAAACCCTGCAAAAGAGATGTTTTCCTTGAGGTCCTCTTGGAGGTCAATTCAAAACCAGAGTGAAGGAAAAGCTAAGCTACAAGTAGCCTCTGAATGACCCCAATTTTTTAGAAATCAGTTCCTGTACCGACACCTCCACGTGTGTGTTCCTTTTTATTATTATTATTATTTCGGCTCCAACCAGAAAGGCGCGGGGCAGCACCAAGGACTGTGCTGCGGAGAAGCCGTGTTTATTTTACCCAGCCCAGCCAGGCTGAAATCTGAGGCTTGCTCAGGTTTTATATGCTGCCTGGATTTCCCGTTCTGTAGCAGTGCAGCCTGATGCTCCCCGGACCGGGGATCCCAAACAACATTTCAGTGCTAAGAGAACACTTGCTGTGATAACAGGTACTGGTGCTCCAAAAAACCGCAGGCTGTTTACTGAGCAGGCAGCTGCCTTTGCTACCAGACCACACCAGGTCCCACCTGCGAGTGAGAGGGGCAGGGAGGGCCTGAGTGATTCCCCTGTTGCACTAAAAGTAACTAAGTTCCCAGGCTCTAGGGCAGCTGGGGAAAGAAGTCCATTATCATCAGCACTGACCTGTGAGCAAAGGGCATTCTTGTGGATTTTCTTATAAATTAGAGCCGGGCAGATGAAGCAGATGAGGCTTCCCATTGTTGCACCTGTTAGGCCCAAAATGGTCTCCACTGGCATGGGAGAGAGAAAACAACAGCAGCTGAAACAACCAGAATCCTTGGAGGAAAGAAAAAGAGCTTAAGGGAGTTGCTGAGACTGCAGTGACTGACGAGACCATGCGAGCCCACCGCTGGCAGGGCCAGGGGCTGTCAGCCATTACAGCCTACCAATTGCCTTGTAGTGGCTTTTACCAAGGTCGTCCCTTCGGAAAGACAGTGCTTCCTCTGCCCCCCCTGCACCTGCCCCTCTAACTCAAGGCTCCAGTTCCACTGCTACCAGGGCCACATACACCTCTGCATTCTCACCTCTGTGTAGAGCCATGAGTGGGAAGCATTCACATGGCTCTGGTGCTGGTCAGGGCTTTACAGCCCATAGCCACCAATGCCGGGTATCCCTGCCAACGCCAGAGCGGCTGTGGCAGACCCCCAATGGGAGACAGCAGGGAGAAAGGACAGAGATGCTGAAGTGTCTACAAGCATTGGATTCCACCGCGCCCCGCACCGGCACTCACCATTTGGTATCATGATGCCTCCCACCATGGTGCCAAACACCACAGCCAGTGTGAGGGCTTTGAACCGGAGGGGTGGCATGTAGCCCCCAGCCGCAAACGTGCCATCTTTTTGCTGTTGAAAACAAAAGGAGATGTGTTAAATGCCAGCAAGTCTCTAAAGCAACTTCCCCAGCAGCCTCTACTAGACGAGTGAGGCACAACGGAGTGGGGCTCTAACCAGGGTGATTCCATCCAACAATGCGGTGGCCTTCTGAACAGGAACATTCAGGGGCAGTTAGATGCGAGCGAGCAACTGGAGCCTGCAGCTGCAACCTGCAGAAGTCACCATAGCTGCCACTTCCCCTCCTGCAGGGAACACTCACTGCACAACAGCCTCTGGCAGTGCTAGTGCCAGAGCTGCTTGGCAAAACCAAGCAGACAAGTGCAGGAGAAGAGGGAGTGGAGGTGAAGGCAAGGGTGCACCAGCTGACAGCCCCTGCAGGAAGGGACCAGGCCATGCTGCTACATTTGGCAAGCTGGACACTGTTTCTAACAGGCAACAGCCTGCATCCACAGCTCTGACCCCAGGAAGGACACTACAGCTGGGCTGACTTATGTTTGTGATGTTCCTCCCCAATTCAGGCAGGCACTTCCTGCCCTTTCCACCCCCAGAGCTCTAGCGCTTGTGCAGCAGCGTTTCCTCTCCAATGCATGGAACAGCCCCTAACAAAGGAATCCACAGGAGGTGGGAAGACAGGGAAGGGCAGGGGGCAAGGCCTTTCCTGCTGTGCACACGAATGCCAGGGGACAGTCGCAGGCAGAGTCAGAACTCGAACTCAGAACCTTCTATTTCTACTGCTTTTGCCAACATGGGCCCTGAGCTCCTTGCACACCAGGGCACTGGAAAGAGCCAAGAGGTGTCCTGTGGGGCCTCAGGGGGCAGGGCATGGAGAGAGAAGCAGCCTTTCATTTCCTGCCCTAAGAGGTTGCTATCTGTGTGGCTGCACAAAGGCCTCAGAACAGCCCCTTGCTGTTATTCACCAAATCCCACTGCAAATCACACAGTGCAAAGCAGCCAGAGGGAGCCTCAGGGCTCTGAGGCTCCAAATCAAACAGGCAGCACAACCACAGCCCGGCTACAGGACTGACTCCAGGAGAAGAGAGGAGTGTAGGACAGGGCTGTGTTGCTATAGCAAATAGCCACAAAACGGCTCTGAGGACGAAGCTCTGTATGTCACACAGAGATATATGAATGCAGGGAAGAGACTGTCTGTTACTCAGGTAGATGGAAACTGCTCAGGGCCTTACAGAGCTGAGGAAGAATGAGAGCAAGCAGAAACAAAGCAAAATGGGGAGATCAGGTCTGAGCAGCCGGAAATCAAGACTCTTCTCTGTTCCTGCCTGGATTGCTCTCCCTCTCCTAACTCCTATCAGGGAAAAGGGCCTCAACTCAGCATCCCATGACACTTCCCATAATCTAGGTGCCCAAAGTGCTACCAGAGCAGGGAACCCATTGCCCCCACAATTGTTATTGAGGAAAAAGGCAGAGCAAATGGCATGGCTTTGACTTTAGACCCCAGTACCTCTGCCCACAGAGAGGATCACTGCTCCACTGCACGGGGGAGAGCCCAGAGCTGCTGTGGATTGGCTACTACTGAGAACAGTTGCATTTCTCTGCAGCCAGATGTATAGACAGCTGGGCTGTGCTCCTACCGCTGCCCCTAGTAGCATGCAACAGGCAATTACAATTTCCCTGGGAGCTGCAATAAAATGGAATGGGGCCGAGGGTTCATCCACTCTGGATATGAATGCCTGCTGCTAATCAGAAAGAGGCCGTCGCCAGCAAAGGCTGCAAAGGGCTCCAGCGTGTTGTAACTGAAATACCAGTCAACAGATTAAATCAAGGTGACCCTTTGGAAAGGGAAAAGTTGGTTGCAGCAGGACCCAAAGCTCCCAGCTGCTCCAGGGACTCACCTGCTGCTCAAAAAGGAGGGTGTTCAGAGCCTGTCGGCAGGGCAGGATCATCATGGGAAACCCCACGGCCACCGACATCATGAACCCCACACGGATCATCTCCGTCACCAGGTTGGATGGAAAGTTCATCAGCACGTTCCCAGCGATAGCCTCAGTATAGCTCACATAGCCAAAGAAGCCAACCTGTGAGGGGAGAAGGGCAGTAAGCTGCAGGGCTGTTGGCATATGCACATTCCCTGTAAGTGAAGGGAACAGGACGGAGGGCTCCACCACCCTCAGCCTCGTGGCAGTGGCTGCAGCTTTGTCAGTGCTTGCAACATGCAACTGCAAGGGGACAATGGCTGAAGACAACAGACAACCTCCACAGATGTAGGTTCCCCAGCGGGCCCTGCCATCATCACCTATGAGAAGGGCAGGTGGTTGCAGAACAAGGACTGCCACTTCAGAATCCTACATGCCCGGCTTTAAGGAGCAACTCCTGTACAGCCCCTTTCCCAGAGCCTGCCCTGGTCTGAGCTATGCTGCCTTTGGGAGGTTCGAGCAATGTAGCGGCAATAGCTGCCGAATCCCATGAACCTGACCCCTCCGATAAGGGAGCGGCTGCAATACAATCCCCCCAGCAGCCCAGTTCACATGGCGGGGCTGGTCTTGGGAATTATTAACTGGATTTTATTAACTAGTGTTTTATGAAGCATAACTTCCTTTGCGTCCTTCTCATCACAACGAGCAGAGGGGGAAGCTCTCTCTGAGGTCGGCATCTCCCTTTCCAATTGCACATGACGAAGGCAAGACCGAGGGCCTCACTTGCTCTAGCTCCGGTGAATGGGACCTATTGTTCCATGGCCCTGGGTTCCCCAAATGCCTCCGGGCACTGAATGGAAAAAGCTGCCCTGGAGATTTCGCTTTCATAAAAGTGAATAATTTTCTTCGAGAGCAGTGAAACCTGCAGGGAAAATGGTCCGTCCGCCCGATAACAAAATGCACCTGAAAGTCACTTTCAGGAGACAAGTTAAACCAAAGCAGAAAGGAAAGGTTCATGCTTCTTACCATCACATAGAAGATGGTGACCACATTTAGAGAGGAGGCAAATATGGAGCTCATTATTTTAACGGACGGTTCATCCAAGCTGTCGTAGGTAGGCAAGACCTGGCTGCACAGGGGTGGGGGGCAGGAAAAAAAAAGATGAGCTATTTCAAAAAGCTGCAGAGAGAGATATGCAAAAATCAAGCATGCTCCTCGCTAGAGCCCAGCAGCAAAAAATCCCAGACACCTTCCTCCCCTGGAGCATAAACACTCGCTGCTATTCCACAATTTATATTGCTAATGCCAAGAGATTTCGGAACACTCCAAATCGTAAGTGTTGCACAAATATTCAGGCTCCCCCCACCCCCCCCCTCCCCCACCACGTGGATTTAAACGTGTGATGTAAACATTTCAGTTCAAAAGCGGTGCAGAATGAATGACCGTTTGTTCCAGTGAAACACCAGTGGCAAGGGGCCAGGCAGTGCATTGGAGATTATTGTTCTTGGAGCTCTCGGCCCTGATAATTAAAGCGACGCCGTGTTTACAGAGTACAAGCAGGAAGAGGGCTAGAGCATCACACTGTCTCAAAGCAAAGTTAAACAAACACGGCGAAACACAGCAACTGTCATATTTCAGCGCTGCAGCGAAAGCTCGGTTCATAAAAAGCGGGAAACACCCGTTACACGGCATTCGCATTCGGGGGCATTTGGCAAGCAAGCAGAAGGCACTGCTACATCAGGTGCATATTTTAGCAACTCCTTAGCCTCTTGTTGCTCTAATCTGAGTGGCCACATCCTGGCTGTAGACTCCTGGTGAGAGAGAGCCCCAGGAGAGTGCGAGTGTGTACGTTGGGGAAGGGGGGCAGGTGGAAGGGTAGGGGTTATCCCCAGCTCTGTCAAATAGGCCGAGCAGAAAGAAACCTTAACCTCTTGTGCACTGCGAAATTCTGCAGGAAGGAGAGGGGGCTGTTATTTTAGGCTGCCTTTTGAGATGCCTGCAGGAGATACTGTGCGTGTGCATATTATACTACACTAGTTGCGGATGTGTGCAGCCCGAAGAAGCAGACTTCCCTGCAGGGCCACGTAGGATTCAGCCTCTCCCATGCCGATCTTAAGAGCAAAGCCTTGCTATATGACCCTTGTCCATCATGGGCTCAGAAATAGGAGCAGAAGACAGAACAGATGCGGGGGGCCCAGCAGAGGGTAAGGGAGGGGACAGCGAGGCTTCTCCAGCGCACGCCACAACCCGGCGGTCAGGGGCTGCAGGAGCCGCAGCAATGCAACAGAACGGCACGTGGAGGAGGGAGTGCCACGTGGAACCGCACTGCAACCGGGCTGTGAGGGAGCAGCGCCCGGCTTGTCAGCTTGGGTTTCTGGGCACAGCTGCAGAGTCCTTGGAAGGCTGCCCACACCCCGGGGTGCCTCCCCTTGCCAGCCGCCAGCCCAGCGGGGCCAGTGGGAGTACACCGCGCGCACAGCATGGAGCACGTCCCGGTGGGCAAGGGTTGGTTATTTTTAAACCGGAACAGTCGTGCCGGATCTGGCCACGAAGGAAACGGCACCCGCTCCTGAAGCTTGCACCATGTGCCTCTGGTTAGGCTTCTCCTCGGCGCCTGTAACTGAGCAAGCCCAACACCTCAGGGGGGATTCGAGAAAGACATTTAAACCACATGCCCTTTACCCGCCCCTGCTCCCAAGACGGGGGCAGGGAGAAACAGCATCAGCCGTGGAAGCCTGATCCGGAGAACCGCAGCCTTGCTCCAGTGGAGACCAAACTACCTCCAGGGCTGTTAATTGATATTTTCATCTCCATGGTTACGCCTCTCTCCTGTACTATTTCTGCGCACAGAGCACGGACCAGCAGTGCGTACCACAGCATTTGCAAGATGGCCGTGGTAGCATGTCAAAGGACGAGAGCAAGTTATGGGTCAGTTCTTATCTGATCCTGCCGAGTGCTCCGACAACCACAGACCGCACCGGAAGCTCAGTTCTGATTCTGGCTTTCTGTATCCCTCCAAACCCATGGTCAGCAACACATCACGTTCTGATTTTAGTTATATTGGTACCACAGTAATTCTGACCAGCAGCCCCAGAATCAAAATCTAGGCCATGAGCACAGCATGAAGCATGGGTCACATTATGCCAGAAGCCCGCAATCCTCCTCCAAAACACTTTTACCTATCAGGGAACTGAGGCACAGAAGTTTAAGTCATGTGGGCAGGCTGGGACAGGCCAAGCATCTGAAGCCCAATGCACCTGGTTTTGGCCCTCCTAACCAAGCTCATGATGCTGGAAAGCAGGATGCTTCTCTAAGATCAGTGGCATCAACGTAGCTTTCAAAAGGGCAGAGGGAACCAAATCCACAAGTCAAATATCATCATGTGCTTGAGCTGAGGAAGAAGAATGGTGTGTTCTCCTTGTCACCACCACCACATTCTGAGGCGACAGTTTTGGGGAGGTTTTTCACGGTTAGAATTACTTCTTTTAAAAGTGGTGATTAGGAGGGCAGCAGAATTAGATGCCCTTAGAGAATAACATGCTCGTGGCATCTCCCAGGCTGGGGACAGCATGTTATTCTGCTGCTTGGAAAAAAAAAATATAGCTTAAGGTTTGGCTTGCCACGTCAGTGGTGTAGCAGAAACTATATTTAGATGTGTGCATACTCAGCCAGACCAAGCTCATTTTCCTGTGTTTCCAACTCCCATCAAACGTACGTTGGTTACCGCGTGGCTACCGCAAGAGAAACACCGTTCTGGAGTTAAAAAAAAAAAAAAAAAAAAAGAGCCCTCCAACATTCACTAAGTAATGCTGCGAGACGATAAAACTTCTGCCACCAATGGTAATGAAGACATAAAACAGCAAGACTCAAGCATGTTCTGGTGGAAACAATGCTGCCAAGAGAGAGGGGAAGTGGGAACGGATGATTTGGATCTCGCCCGTGGGTAAAAACGCAGAAGCACAAACAAATTTTCTTCATCACGTTAATGTGTTACTGGCGTGCTCCACGGGTGCTGGAACTGCAGGGGAAGTCCAGCTCTGCCAGTGGCCCTCCAGCAGGCAGTCTTTTCTGCGTCCCCGTTCAGATTTACACCTCTATTTTGGGTTGGTTACCACTGGGACCGGGCACGAATCACTCACTCCTGTCATTCTGGTGGAGAAGGTAACACTGCCTAGATCGGGGGAGCAGCCAGGACTGCAGTCACATAGCTCCTGGTGCCAAAAGCACGCCCGTTCAAAGCAGGTGACTGGATAACATGCTAGCAACTGGCTCGAGTACACTGCGATGCGATTTCCTGTCAAAGTTTCTCAGCTAAATTTGGTGAGGCTCCCTACAGCCATGCACGTAGATTACCCTGCTGGGGGGGTAGGACTGACACCACCAAGCTGCTAACCTGGCTATGAAATCATCCCTTTCAGAATAGCAGGTCATGCTGATCCCTGATCCAACTCCCCTGAAATCAAACAGAAACGACACTAGGGATTCGTTTGGCCCAAATCATTTTACGTAGCTGAAGTACAGTAACTCTCAAGTGAAATATAACTCCCGCCCATCCTAGGTAACACCAAAGGGTCACCACAGAATGAGATGCAATATTCCAGCAGGCTGTAAAATATTCTGATTAAAATCAAAAGGGGAACCAGATGGTAGCCATCCCACCCAGGTCCCCATGACCCTCTGTCCTCACACAACTCCTTCCCCATTGCAACAGCCTGAAGGAAGAACTGCAGGTACTTACGACTGACAGGCAAAGGACATGCCAAAGATGGGAATGCAGCGAAAAATGCCCTCCCAGCGCGCATAACTGACCCGCTTCAGCCACTGCCCGCTGAAGAGGCCGTGCTTGAAAGATGAGAGCACAATCTGCAGCCAAGAGAGAGAAAAGGAGTTAAATCCAAATGGCAGACACTGCCCAGGCAGACGTCAGGCATGGGATCTGGATAACAGCAACTTCCCTTACACGGTGACAAAGAGCAGGGGCCCAGCAGCTCTGTGAGGCAGGCAACGAGGCTGCGACCAGCTTGTGCTGCATATTACAACTGGGGATTTGTTCCTAAGGTCTCCTGGCTTCCGCTTCCTGCACCTTGAACAAGCTTTTATCCAGCTCCCAACTATGAAACCATCTGTTGGGATCACCTGCCACTGCCAAGCTCGTGAAAAGGGGAATCATAATCTCCCTTGAGTGAAGCCACCCTGCCATTAGGTACCATCTTGTGTACAAACACACACACAGCATTAACCCCATGGTACAGAGCAGGTCCTGACCACAGAGTACTACTGACAGGCAGCAGGCAAAGGTACTTCCAAGTAGGACCTGACCCCAACAGGTCTGTCCAACCCCCAGCTAGAGGCATTCCCAATATTTCTCCACACAGATAGCAGAATGGTCTTCACCCTTGCTGCAGACAGCCGGCAGGGTTAAACTGCAGCAAGGCAGAATTAGATCAAATCCCAGGAAAGCTTTCCGTACTGCAGGAGCAGCAGGACAAGGGAACATGCAGCTCACATTTTCAAGTGCGGGCTGTGTATGCATCTAGGATGAGAAAGGAACAGCATGCCCTGCACTGGTGGAGGGGCTGAATTAGATGAGCCCTGAGGATTTCCAACACTTTGGATCCTACATAACTTCCCTGAGGGTGAGGAAACAGATCAGGGGAGTGAGCAGAAGAAGGTGGCAGGAGCAGGGTTATGAGAGCTATCCTGTCACCCCAAGGGAGCTGGCATGCGTCTAAGAGCCTAATAACATACAGGCTGAAAAAACCTTGGAATTCCTAGAGAGCCCGTCCCAGTGTGGGAAAAGTCCCAGGAAAGCTCCTGGAACACGACGATTCTAAGAGATCCACAGCTGTAATTTGCTTCTTTAAAATGAAGCTGTCAGCCCTCTTGGTTATAGAGCCCAAGCTTAGGAACGTGGCCCGAGTGCAACCCAGCTGCTCTAAATCAAGAAGAAAAATTAAGAACGCTCTCTCTCTTTCTCGCTTTGATTTTGGGGGCGATCTGAACCCTGGTTTTTGAGCCCCTGGGGCTAACAAGGACAGAGACTGTTAGGTGAAAACCAAAGCAAGAGAACTGAATGAAAACATCTCTGTTAAACACAGGGAGCTCTGGAAACTCAGACGGTCCCACTTAACCAAGCTGGTTGTGCATCAGTTTCTCAGCCAGCAAAGCTCTTTCAGAAGGCCAAAATAGTAATAATAATAAGTAAAAGAAAGTTTCCTTTGCCAAGGCTGTGCATTTGAGTCCTCACCAACAGGTTTACCATTTCAGTACTGTCATTTAGAAGGAAAAACACTCAGTGCCTGAATGATGTTTAATATCAGTATTAAAAATGGACACACATCAAAATAGCACCTATGCCTTTAACAATAACAGCTTAGTGCAAAAAGCCTGTGCTTCAGGGCTCTTACGGCAAAACCCTATCAGGTTACAGCTCTCCTCTCTGTGCAGCACGCCATTCCCCCGTCTCCCATCCCTCTAATAAACGCTTTGGATGCTATCAGTGGCAAGCACTAGTGAGTGGAAAAGGTAGCACAGGCCACAACATGGTCAAGTCATATACAGACGTCTCTGTGCTGACAGACCCACTGGCCAGTTTCTCCAGTTTAGCTGCAATTTCCCACCTCCATGTGCTTCAGTGTGTGTGGACAGCCTGGTCGCAGCTCTGCCGGGCACATGCAGCGATTTGTAAGTGAGGATTCCAAAGCGGGGTGCAGAACCTGCAACCTGCTCTCAGGGACTAATCCCCTGCTTACACGGAGATCTGCTGGACTTCCCGACAAGCCTGTCACCCATAACAAACAGCCTGTGGTATTGGTACCTTCACCTGCACTGGGGCATCCCTCTAGACGGATTAGCCACTCAGTGTTTCCCTCCTCCCCACTGCAGCTAAGAAAACAAAGCCTCCTGCCGTCAGTACTCACCACAAACATGAACACCGTGTAGAAGATCAGTGCCATGGCGCTGAACGACTGTATGGAAGCCATCATGTTCCTCTGTAGGCTCAATGGCAGCACGATACACAAGGAGACGACAAAGAGCAGGACTATCCGGAAGCTGCCAGTTACCTGAAAAAGGGCCAATGTAAGAAAGAGCAGCACAGCGTGTCCAGAAAACCTCGCAGAGTCAAGCAGCCAGAATCCATGGGCTTGGATTGACAGAAAGAGCTTTTCATCCACGAGAACGAGACAAAGCCAGTGGAAGAGGCCGCGAAATTGGAAGTTCCGCCTGCCTCCTCTTAAAAAACAGAGGAGAAGAAACAGTTCAGAGCTAGAAACTCCACGGCTGCCTCGTTCGATCTGTGATTAGCTCCTGCAGTCACTGGGTGCCACTGTTGCTCTGCAGAGCGCGTGACAAAGCCAGTCTTCAGCAG